TGAAAAAATTAGCAAGTACACAGAACTTGCCCAGGAAATAAGGCATCTGTGGAGGATAGATAGGGTGCTTACTGTACCTGTCGTTCTCTCCTGTACAGGTGTGATACCACACACACTACACAAAGGCCTGGGAACATTACAATTGAATAGAAATACATACATCACACTACAGAAGGCCACTGCATTGAATACATGCCACATTGTTAGGAAATTCCTGAATACAGACACTGACACACTTATTTAATTTTTGTTTTTGGTTACTATGCCTTGACTCTGGTCCGGCATAGTACACAGACACCAGTGTGAACTGAGTAACCCACTAAACCCAACATAACGATAAATAACGATAAAAATACATAGCCTAACAATGCAACCTAAATCTATAGTTTCCTCTATGGAGTGATAATGACAAATGGAGCAGTGACGTGTACATCATTCTGACCATAAACAAGGAGACTAGCATCAACAGTTTATTTCAGGTACATCAGAATACCTCAAGATCCTTTAATTAAAGGCTTGAGGCAACTACTGTGGCATGCCTCTTTTCATGACTAATCTAGTATGCCAGTCAATCTGATCACATCCATATATAGTGTTGTCATCATGCTGGATAAACAATTCAGACAGGACGATATGTTTTCTAGGAAGTTGCTGAGTATTTATACATCTATATGTCGACCTTGAGACAATGTTTAAGGTGCAAGATGAAGACACGACCAAGCAAATACACATCAACCAGAAGAGTGAGGTTAACCTCAGTCCGATGTCATATATGTTGGCAACAAGATGCTTGACCACCGTTCCCAACTACCACAGGTTCATTGAATATAAAGACAATATTAAAAGAGTAGGATCCACTACATTTTTGTCTCCACACAATGTTCTGATACAGAGGTAGATTGGTGGGCAGCCAAAATCATTATAACTATCTCTTGCATTTCCAAACTGGAATTATAACCACACTGTTATCAATACATGTTAAACAGCAGGAACAATTGTAAGCTCGCCGACTTTCAGGGAGAAATCAGTTAATCCCACATCAGGAAGACTAGGGTCGTCTATGTGTCAGCGGTGTGGCAGAGACAGAAATGACAAGTGTTTTACAAAGAAAACCATTTATTGGGACAGAAACATGCTTACATAGGTGATGAGTTTGATTAACTATGTTAATTTGTTGAGAATTTGTCCTGATGCTGAGCAATGTGCCTTCGAACTTGTGAGAGTTTCAGTCAATCTGTTGTAGCTCTGGGACAAGAAGGGTTTGTTTGTTGCGGCGCAGATGATAGGCGAAGATGTTCAGTGTCTGAGGAAGCCTATGAGTCACACAGCACAACTTTTTGCAACACAGAACCCTTTTTTCAGAGGGAGACAGCTGTTTCAACCTTGAATTTTTGGTTTATATAGTTTTTTTTCTTTTCCATCAATATTTCTGATTGGCTCCATGTCCTATTCCTCGCTTCCTAATTGATCTCTCATTTATCTCTATGTGAACCCTGAGACCCGATTGGGTCACAAGAAAGGTCTGTTTCAAGACGTCTGTCCAATATTTTTTTGCTGACTCTGACTGGAGTTTGTTGATAGAACTATAAGTCATGCTCATAATTTAGCCCATTGTTTCTATCTTCTGTCATTTTAGGATTTTAATGATTGCATGTGATGTTTTTCTAACCATCAGATCTTTGTCCTGGTACTGAGCAGTGTGCCTTCAGTCAATCTGTTGACTGAAACTCTCACACCCTTTATCAAATTTTTAATCTAAATCAACTGTTTATGAGTGTTTGTGTCAGAGTTCAATCTTCCAGGACTGACATTGTAAAGTACTATTTTTAACTTATCACTCTACAACGAATTTCGTTCCGGAAAGAGCCAGTACCTAACGGGTACTTTACGCGGGTTCGCGTTTGTTAGTTTGCCAGGCCTGGACTTTTCACGTGCACCGAAATAAATTAAAGACAAGTTAGTCAAAAATCAATAAAAGTATTTAATAAAGATCTAGGAATAACTATTTACAATATTTATAACAAACAACAAATTTATTCAATCAAATCAAATCCAAAAGTCAACCCAACAAAATTCAATCTTATTCTAACTTAGAACTATTCCCCTTGGAATTCCGACAAAATCAATCCTTAACTTAAGGTTCAGAATTTCTTACAACTACAAATCCTAACCATCACCTCAATTATACTAGGAACCTTTTTCCAACTCAAGCCTTTTCCTATTCCTCGATCCACAAATCGAAAAACTGCAATCGCCTTGGACTATTTCCTATTGGACACCTTGTTCACTGCTACTAGCAGACCAACGCTTTCTTTTCAGGAGCTCACCTCTCTTGTCTTCACTTGAGCTACGCTATTTATAGTCTGAGGTGACGTCACAGTTTCTAAGTGAGACACTCCCCTCATTTACATACTTACACGTAACATTCACTTTTTTCTTACTTATCTGGTAGCTTAATTCCCGACAATACTTTGTTAACCTTTTACAGTCTTTTCTTGAACAATTATCGGGATGTTTCCTTTAAGGTTTAACAAGTCCTTAAAAGTCTGTGGGGTCTGTCCCCCCTTTCAGTGCGGTCTTACTATCTGCCGCTCAGGCATGCACGTGAGTGTGAGTGTGAGCTATGGCGCTTTCGTCGGTGAGTTGGTTTTATCTTCTCTTTTTAACTTTCTAAGGTGACGGGTGAGGAAACCTTCGTCCTAACTAAACATAAACCCAAACAAAATATAATAAAAGCAAAATAAAAGTAAAATAAAATAATGCTCGGACTTGGTTCCTTACAACATTCCATCTGATTTGTTATGTCATTCATCTTTGTGTCATGTTTGTTTTGACAATTACAGTTTTTTTTCCTCCTCTCTCTTACATAACCATCATGACCTTTGATCCGACTTGACAATAGCGTTTTCGCTTTTAATTAACTTGAAATTAAATTATAGTTTTGACCCATTCTGGAACCTCACACAATCTCTCTCCTCTGTCTGGCAATATCTCCTTAGTCCTTTGCATGAACTGCTGCCATCATAGTCCACTTCCTCCTGCTTGTTTACTTTAACCTAACTTCCTTCCTGACCAACATTGGTATTCCATTTTCAGCAGTTCAAACCTGAAGATGACCCATTAACTGGCTTGAAAATGTTAGCATTCCTTAAATTTCATCCACTGTTAAAGGTGTAGTGATTAATTCAGATTATGAAATTGGGACTGTAAATTTTAAGGAAACAAAAACTCAAGTTTTTAAATCAATATTTATTTGTTGATTTAATAAGATTTATTTAATAGTAGGTATGTTTTTAGTAAATACAGGATGTCTATAAATTTTTCACTGGATTAAGAAATTTGAAAAAAAAAAAAAATCCTAAAAGATATCAAAAAGTTTTGTTGTATTTTATTCTGTAACTCAAATATTTTTTTGCTAATGGTTTTCCTGGACAATTTGCACTTTATATGTAGTCAGTGTCAACTACAGTTAATCTAGGAATATGTAGTTGAAGGCTAACATGGTGAATGGATTTGCTAGGACTGCATCAAAATTTTTTCCGGATAGTGGTGGCTAGTTTTTCATACATGCTAGGTGTACCTCCATATTTCTGATGCAAGATAATCCCAGTCTCTTGAAATTGCTTCAGCCATCGTTTAATTAACTGTTCAGTTGATGGATGTTTATGAAATTCACATACAAACCTTCTCATAACTGACTTTGGTGATTTTGTTTCCCATAGCCAAAGAACACACTTTGCTTTTTCACTTATTGACACCATGTTTGCTGCAATACTAGTGTGGTACTCATGAACCATGTTTATTTTTTTGTTTTCCTTTCTCTATCCTAAGCTGTTACGACACCTCACTCAGACTTATTACCAGAGGCGATAACAGTCTCAATTTGCCAGATGTTCATCCAGAGAGGGTCAACCAGGCTTTGTGTCTTTGTGGAGCATTTTGATTGGAGGAAAGGAGATTGTGATATATAGAAAGGGTATAAGAATGAATGAACTCAGGTGACAATGTCTTTTTCCTTCAATCATCTTCATCTTGTTTGAAGTGACCACCAAGCAGGCGAGAAATCACTGAAGATAGGAAGGTGAGCATGTGTAGGAAGGAACAAGGGACTAGTGACTCTTAATAGAAGGAAGCATAATTGTGAATGTACAGTACATATCTATGATGATTTAGTATATAAGACATTGTCAAGATTATGTACCCTTGTTTAGCGGGATTAGATTGTTTTTAACACAAAACGATTTCCAACAACTTAACACTTCGTTGAGTAATAACAATCCACATCAAGCAGATATAACATAACATCAAGTAGATATTAAAAAATAACAGGCACACCACCACCTTATCGACCTACGTTACCGACCCTGAAATATGGGCGGACTTCCAGAATACCAGACTAATCAGACAAGCGTTCTGAACTGATCACATCCGACACCTGGAGGCCTGGGAGATTCATAAATCTAACTGTCGGGGCACCTGCATCAACTTCAAAGATGGTGAAACAATCACTCAGGCATGGAGGTATTTGTTCAAGGAATTCGGACAGGGACAATCGGAGGGGTGGAACCCAACGCGCACGATTATTTACATCTCTGGCAACATCATTACGACGGTCAGGAGGAAACACGGTCAGTCACCACCTGAAGCAGACCTCGGTAGAGGTCGAAAGCGTTTATGGAGGTAGTTAAAGACATAACACTTGTACAAAAAGGTTTTTTGTGGATTGTCATTAGATTGTTTTCAATTATATATAAATATATACTGTATAATTTCCACAAAATTGTTCTCAAGTGAAGGGAATTACACTAATGATTTTTAATGTTGCCACATATGTGTAAAAAATTCTTTGAGGTGTAGGAATTGCTGTAAATATTTTCTTAATATGTTTTCCGATCTTTTTAATCAAATTCTTAATCTGATGAATAATTTATGGACATTCTATACTATACTTATACTTATTTATTTTTGTGTTATAATTTTGTTTGATTTATTTTATTTAGAAACTACCACGAGGGCAATGTTCACAATGGTTGGTAGCCAAAAAACCTGAAAACATCACAAAAAATAGATATGGGAATTTATTACCTTGTAAGTAAACTATTACTTTATCTTATATTTTGTATATTTAGAACTAACATAATTTTGGGCAGATAACCTGCAAGTTACCTGTATTTGAAAGATAATTTGAAAGGGGATGTAGGTTATATTCTGATTTTAAATTTCAGTTTTGAGTTGAAATTGATTCAAACTATACAAATTACTGATAATTTTAATATCGATAATAAAATTATTTTCTGTTTAATTTTTCCAGTCTATCTTATTGTAATTACTGAACAAAAGAAATTAGTCATAAAATAAAAATAAATCATATATATTTATTTTTACACTTAATTTACATAATTGGGGTGTTCATAAACACCTGCAATTATATCAAGTACAGAGGTGAATACAAGGGCATCTGTACATTGAGGGTATACTTGGAGCATGTGTTCGCTTTTCATCTGGTTGCCTTTTTTCCTAATTTCCAAGGGGCCCCAAATTTTATAATCAACAAACAACAGAAAATTCATGATTTCTAGTCTATTCTTAAAATATAAAAGAAATTAACAAATGATATTTGTCCATTGTCCCATACGACTTTGTTGTATATTGACCAAAACTTTTTTCAAGGCCAAGTTAGACTCAATTGCAATCAATGCCACCTTGTGGGATTGTGCTGATTCATAGTTTGAAACTTCTTGCATAATGTATGATGCCATTTTTTATAGTCTGTGGGTGCCACTGGGTGAATAATTCAGTATTTCAGAGAGATTTCTCAGTGGTGACTTTCCTGTTAAGACTAAGTATCATACATATGAGGTGTCTTCAAATGCACATTAGTGAAGAGATATAAATGCATGCTTGTGTGTGTATGACACTACTAAGTTATTGTCTTTGCTAGCAATACTTCAATTGAAAGTCATTTAATATTTTAAATTTTATACAAATGTTAGTTTAATTAATGTAAAACAGTTTTCTACATAACCAAGTTTTAAAGATAAAGCAAAAAAGACCATGTCATCTTTAGTTTTGATTTTGTTAATTGTTATTCAAATTAAATTTAATAATTTTAAATAAAAATTAAATAAAATTAGTAGTTGAAGGCTAACATGGTGAATGGATTTGCTAGGACTGCATCAAAATTTTTTCCGGATAGTGGTGGCTAGTTTTTCATACATGCTAGGTGTACCTCCATATTNTATTAGTATAAGATAGCAGTCTAATTGCATACTTTTAAAAAAATTATTTTATATTAATTATTAATATGAAGGTTATTTTTTTCAACAAGAATGAAGAACAAAACCACTTTATTTGTAAAAGATAGTTACAGTTTTCACCCATTTTTCCACATAATTGCCTTGTCAATTCAGGCAGACATCATACCATGACAGCAACTTTTGTATTTTCAAGCTTTTGTATACTCAAACTTTTGTATACTTTTGTATACTTGAAATTTGAGGAAACTCCTCACTGAGCTCAGAAATTGTGAACCGATGCTTTTTTCACACCAATTGATCTACTTTGTCCACCAAATCGTTGGTCATCACACACTTCCTCCCTTGACTGCCCTCATCATGAATGTTGTCATGTCCTTGTTTGAATTTCCTGCACCATTCACACACGCATCTGTAGCTCATGAGGTTCTCACCATACACATTACACATCCTTTGATGAATTTCACCTCCATTCAGCCCTTCGGCCTGAAGAAATCAAATTACTGCTCATACTTCACAGTTGGCAGGAGACTGGATTGGCTACATCATGTTTACTGCATAGTAGCAAATGTCTAAAATAGCTTGGCACAATGCTAAGTTGTGAGGAAATATACTACTTACTAGGTGTGCACCCCGTCCCTGTCTCACATGCTTTCAATTTTTTTCATATATCAGTGGAGGTTGAGAAAAAAAATAACCCTCATAGTTAAACTATAGTCTGAATAATCAGGAAATTTCTATGATTATTGTATTGTATTTCTATGATTTCTATGATTATTGTAGAATGTCTTTATTTGGTTGTTTATGTGTATATTTAACACTGGGACATCCAATCTGTGTGGATCTTGTAAAATTTTGTCTCTTAAGATAGCTAGATTGAGAACATTTTCCTGATAAACAAGGTTCTTTAGATAGTCCTATAAACAAAAGTCATGGGTTCCAATCTGGTAATCATGGCAGCCATGACATTGAAATAATAAGTTAATTCTTCTCTCATACAGAAAATATAGTTGCAGTAAGGCTTGCACATTTAAAGTTGATATATGGGATGCACCATCTTGCATAAAGATTGTGGTGTTCAGACAATTTCTCTACTCAATACTAATTAGAAAACATAAAATAATGTGCACATTAAGGGTACAACAGTGCCAAATTTTATCTTAGCAACTAAATTTTAATGTAAAAATTTTTTTCAAAGATTGAAACAGTTTACTCAGGACAGTATACATATAAAATTTGGTTGAGTTTTTTCTACAGATAGCTCTGAACACTTGCTCTTTAATTATAAAAATATGATCAGCTTGTATAATTTTAACTTAAGTAGATTTTAACATATTGATGGAAATTATATTTTAGTACAATAAAAATGCATTTATTTCAAATATAAACAGCTAAATTCATATTTATTTGTGACATTCAATAAGATGTACCACATATTATTCAGGTTAATAGAAATGTTGATAATCATCTATGAGTACAGTTATACATTGATATATACATAGACTATCAAAAAAATAACAAGATAAAAAATCAATCATTCTTCAAACTATTTTTATAAATGAAAATGTAAATAATCCATTTTTATGACAAGAGTGATGTTTGGAAACAACAAATCCTTTCAGCCATCAGTCTAAAGGTAAGTTATGCAGTTACTTAATTATTATTGTTATTTACTCTTCAAGATCACATCAGATAACCATTAAAAAGAGAATTTAATGAATGCCAGATAATGAAAATATCTGGCATTCATTAAAAAAGAAATTCACTTAATGTTGAATAATAATCAGATGCCAAGCTGCTTGAATTGCCTAGCTCTCTTCATAAAATAAGAAGTAGGATGGCAAATTTTTACTGCCAAAAATTCTATTTCAAAATAATTTTTGATCTTTAAAATAAAACAAGAAAAAATAATAATTGAATATGATCAATTTTTTAGATGATGATAATCGAGTAATATTGAAAATTGTATCAGATGCCAATTCATCAGATTATATCAATGCCAGTTACATTGATGTAAGTTACATTGATTACATTCTCCTGTCTTTTAAAGTAAATACTAAAACTACAATCACATTTTAAATTTATAATTTTTATATTTATTTCTAGGGATACAATCGAGTAAGAGAATACATAGCAACTCAAGGTAAACAGTATGTTTTGTTATAGTTTAAGCTTTGCAATATATTGTATTTTATGTATGCTGGATAGATGAGATAAATATTTCTTGATAAAATGGGATTAAGAAAGATTTTTATAAACACTATTAATTATTTTTCAGGTCCAAAAGAAAATACAATTTCAGATTTTTGGAGAATGGTTTGGCAAGAGAATTCTTCTGTTATTGTGATGGTTACAAGTTTAGTAGAGAATGGAAAGGTATTTCTTTCAACCTACTTAAAATCTACTGATATTAATTATATTATAAATTTTAATTTTCAAAGTATATATATTATTGATTATTTGCTATGTTCTAATCAGCATCGATGGTAAAACCTTAGTTGCCAATCTTGTCATACCCTTTTGTACCATAATTCCCTCTCAATAAACTATACATTCTTTTGGTTGATAACATTGAGTCCATACGTGTTATTTCCCAATCCACTCACATCTCATAGATACATTCCATTATTTATTAAAATATTTTTATAAATTTCACTTAAATTTGAAAAGTTATAAATGTATTGGATATCAAGTTTTGTATGTATTTAAAGTGATTTATAAACTCCTGTTTCTTTTTTCTGTTATGTATTAGAAGTTAAGATGTTTTTTTTTTTAATTTTAGAACAAATGTGCCAAATACTGGCCAGACGATAGTATTTGTCATGACGATCTTGAAATTCTGTTAAGTCATACAGAATCTTGCATGGATTTCATTGTTCGCACCATACTTGTTCGTAAAACAAGTGTAAGTGGAATTTGCAAAATTAAATATGTTCAAAACTAAATGACAAAATTTTTAGAGAGGAATTGTTAAAATATTATTGTTTATTTTAACAGATAGGAGAAACTAGAAGAGTTAAACATTATCAATTTTTAGACTGGCCTGATCACAAAGTGCCGTCGAGTGCATCCTCGTTACTTATCTTAATAAGAAGAATGAGATCAGAAAATCCAAATTTAGAAAGTCCAATAATTGTACATTGCAGGTATTTTAACTTAAATAATTTGATTTTATAATAGAACTATATAATATGGTTAAGAATTGATTATTACACTTCTGTATAATTTAGTGCCGGAATAGGACGATCGGGTACCTTCATCGTTCTTGATGCATTGCTACAACAGACCGAAAGAGAGAAACAAATTAACATATTAAGTTTTGTGCACAAAATGAGAACTCAGAGAATTGACATGGTTCAAAATTTGGTAATTATATAATGATTTAGAAAATATGTCAGAATAATTAATGCACATGACTTTCAATACAGATTATTTTTGTTCTTTACAGGAGCAATACATATTCATACACGAAACAATACTTGAAGCAGTGCAGTTTGGAAACACTGCAGTTATGGCTGATGATCTTCCTCTTTACGTGAAAAATATTTGTTGTATAAAGGCAGATGAAAAAATATCAAAACTCGAAAGTCAGTTTCAGGTATAATTTCTTACTTGTTTAATTCTTAATATTGTCATATATTGATCATTCAAACATCTTAAATTATGGTACACTGGCCAAAGCATCTGGCATTATCTGCAGAACCTTAATAAAAATGTTGTAATTGGATAAAATTTTGTTATTATTGGATGTATAATGTAGTGTGCATTCATTTATATATATCACTAGCTGCAAGGACCTGCTTCGCTGGGTTTTTATTTGTATGTAATATAGTTTTTTTTATGTATAAAAGACTGTTTTTCTAAGTAATCTAGAATCTAGCGAAATTTCTATGATTATTGTATTGTATTTCTATGATNAGAATTTTTACGTCCAGTCAAACGAACTAATTTCAACGTTTCTGGAACATTTTCAATCGTTCTATAATCGAACCAATATTCGAATTTTATGTTCAAATTTAATTCGAATATTGTTCGAATTAAATTCGAACAAATTCAAACATAACATTCGAAATAGAAAACCACTTTCAGCCCCATATCTCCCGCACCCTTATAGCTATCGAGACGCAACCCCCATAGTGCACAAATGGAGACTTGGGGCTACTACCACATACAAACACCGTTCACGTGCGATGTGTAGTTTTGGCGGAAAAGTGAAATATAGGGACACACACGTCCATTTTTATATATATACTGTATATAGATAGAATTTATATTATTATATATTTGTGCATTTATTTATATATATTATAGCATATGAAATCTTATGGATATTTTCAAAATTACATGTGAATGGTCTTCCATTTCAAGAATATACATGTAGTATAATGAAAAAAACCAACTTGTTAGCCAAAATTAAGTCTAAACCATTATATTATTATTTGAACTATTGACCCAAAGTAGAGGTTCAAGTCCTATTCAGGATTGATCTTTTCTTTCAGATTTATATGAGGTCTGTCCAGAAAGTTTGCAAACTTTGCAAATAGAAGTTGTTTGCATTTATCTAGAAGCTAGTCAGTTTTGTAGCCTTCAAACTAATCCCCTCCTGAGTCTATGCACTGAATTCAGCACTTCTGCCATGAAAAGAACACTTCCTGAAATACTTCTTGAATGATGTGCAGATCTACTAGGAAATTTTCCTTAATGGTGTCAATGAATTCAAAACAGCAACTTTTGAGAATAAATTTTAATTTGGAAAACAAAAAGAAGTCTGCTGGGATTTAGTCCTGTGAATTTGAAGGTTGGAGAAAAGGTGGCATCGAGTTCTTGGCCAAAAACTCTTATCAGCAACGATGTGTGGATGGAAGTTTCACTATGCTGTTCTCTCCATTGGTCAGTCTTTTCTTTCTCACTGCTCCATGAAGACATTTCAATACCTCCAGATAGTATTCCTTATTTACTGTCTTTCCTTCTGGAAGAAATTCCCAATGAATAATACCATCAGAATTGAACAAAACAGTGAGCAAGATTGCTACACTCAACCAAACTTGTCATGCCTTTTGGGTTGCAGTAAAGATTTTTTCATTCACTGATAACTGATATTTTTCTTCCATGTTGTACCCATAGACCAGAGGTGGCCAACAGTTTTTGCCCCCGGGCTGAATTGGAAAAGAAAACTTTTTCACAGGCCAAACCAGAGGCTGCCCTAGGAAGATTTTGAAGTGGTGCAAGATCTCGTTGTGGTGTCACCCCATAGAGACTGAATTGTAGATAGAGATTACAGATACATTTTTCACATTATGATGCTTTATGAACACTCTATGCTGTACTTACGAGATTTGTAATGGAGGGTTAACTCTAAACACATACTGAGTGTTGACCTTTATTTTTTTAGGCGTCAGAATTTTTCATCGAGCTATTCGGACTTCAGTAGCTAATATTGAAAGATATGAAACCACATAAATTCATTAGACGCCAGATTTGCCCCATGGGCCATATGTTGGCCATGCCTGCCATAGACCCAAGTCTCATCCCCAGTGAAAATGTTTTTCATGAAATTCTTATCAGACCTAGCCCATCCCAGAACTCTTCACTCAATTGCAGTCACAGAAAGAAAATCAGAAAATGCAATCAACATGTTTACACAAACGAAGATAGAACAAACTGCTTGCAGCAGATAGTACAAAAAACTTGCTGGTAGAGAACTGTATAAGCTGCATTCAGAGTCAATTATCAGTTGGTGTATAATTTAAAAAATTTGCAAACTTTCCAGACATATCTCATAAATTTGTTCTTTACAATGCCAAATGTAGAATAAGAATACAGCAAACTGTCTGTCGGTGTTAAAGTTGTTTATTTGCAAAGCATTTACTGTATATTTCTGCAGATAAGACAATAGTTGAATCATAAAAAAAGGCCCCCCAAAATCCAGGGTCGTCTTATAGGACAGATACAAAAAAATTTAGTTGAAATTTATATAAATTAAAACAGGTATGTGCACAAAATAGAATAGCCCATATGACGTTTTTATGAATAGTCAATGTCATTACCTGAATGCCCAAATCAGTGCCAATGTTTGCAACAATCGCAAGGCAGTGCTGCCAGATGCAAGAAAATAAAATTTGTTCATTCAAAAAATTACAAATAGGACATAATTCCATATACACTATACAGTATTATTATTCAGATGATGATTGCCAATCTAAACTAAATTCATAGGCCGTTGATAGTTAGGGGGTCGTCTTATGGGACAGATATATGCTAAAACTGTAAAACTTCGGTGAAAATTTATACTTTGTCTTATCTGCGGAAATATATACAGTAGTTAAAAATGAGTACCTTGGACACTTTAAAATATCATCTTCAGGTTGATCATATACCTGTTACTGTGAATGATCGATAAATGGCGAATGTTAACATTCTCCGGTGAATGTCAGCATTCACACAGTCATTTCGTGTATGTACGAAATATTTGCTAAATATCATTATTTCTCACTTACACCGGCAAATGTCGACATTCAGCATGCACTGATGGTGAATGTTGAATAAAAATATTTTTATTATGTTAAGACAAAAATATGAATTTTTAATATGTCAAAATAGGAGAAAGCTTAAGTAACAGCACATAAAAAATAAATGTGAGGACCCAAACAAGGTCCAAAAGGAGGCATTCAATGACTTTTTAAACGAATCACGTTTCATAATGCAAAAGAACAAAATCAAAGGTCTGAAATAAACAATGAAAGTTTTTTTTTTGGTTAAAAGATTTAAAACAATAGTTAGATTAAAGTCGAGGAAAACGAGGCCAGAGAGGAGTTGTTCAGTCTTAAAGTTGACCTCTCCCATGCCCTTCGAAGGGTTTCGAATTGTCACCATGTGACGATGAGAGACCAATGGAGGAGCGACTTCGGTTGGAAAATCCATAAAACCGCGTTTTCAAGGACATGAAAAGTTCTTGGCCTTGGATTCAAAACGTTTCTTTCATGGAATTTTCATGCTCCCATCCCATCATTAGCGAAAGCAGCATCGACGGTTCAAGATTGACTTCAACGTCTAACCCAGAAGGTCGCCCAGGTGATTCCCAATGACGACCATCCTTCCCAAGTGTGCAGTGCACCCTGGGGCCATCGCTCTTCACACTGATTCACCGATAGCTCATCGTTCGTATGGATAATTGACTCTTTTTATAGTATGGACTGGTTTGCCCTTGGATAGTCCTTACGCTGATTGTAAAGAATAGCTGTAATCATCATTTCTATGTTTAATAAATGGTTTACGATGGAAACCTGTCTCAGTGAATCTTAACATTCCCACATGACGGAGTTGACCGCTCGGCTGTCAGTAAACTCCTCACCCCCAATCGGCTAACATCACATAAACTGTTCAACCTAAAACGAACAGTACATTCTTAATCAGAAAAGAAATTAATACAATAATAAACTTACACATAAATTATGTGATTAATGTTATACAATTTTATTTATTGCAACAACTTAAACTGTTATGGCACTTTCAATTGCACAAGAGTCCCTTGCTTTTACAACTGAAATGCAGTTGTAAAAGGTTCGTGGAATACTTTTTTTTGCAATGACAGCATGTATAACCTTGCCCTCCACTTTTCAAATTAGGTGCAGCTGCTTCTCTCAGCGATATTTTTTGAGAAGAAATCTCATCTATGGAAAGTAACTTTTCTTTACAAATTACGAATTGATTATGTTATTATGTGATTACGAACTGATCTGTTAATGGTGTCCTTTATTCGGATATTGCAGCCGCCTTACCGACCATCCCTCTCATCCTCTGCCACTAGACCTGACAAACCGATCCCCTCCTCACGGGATCAAAAGAACAAAAACACTATCCAATGACAAAGTAGGCATTTTTCACCAAACCGTTGCCGGGAAAAGAGGTACAACCTTGTCCTACCTCTGGCTACCTACAAAGGATTTGGTGACAGACTGTCCCCTCTCTGTTGACATTGGTTTCTCCAGTGTCGTTTCGACCTCCACCAAAGCTTATCTGTGCTTGTCGACATATACCAGCGATTGTTTGAATGTATAATAATATAACCAAATAATCGGTCTTTCACCGACGTACTCTGTCAACTATATGTATGTGTCAACATTCACTAGAGAATATCGACATTCTCTAATTTCGGTCTTTCACATTAACATATCATCCAAGTTTCAATTTTTTAAAAAAATCTAGTAATGAGTTGCATAACTTTCCTAGCTTTTATGAAGTTTTATTTTAAAAATAACATTTGCATTATTAATCAAAATAAATAAATAAATTGTATGTGGTGCCATCTGTTATGAGATTTTGTTATAAAAACTTTATATAAATTTAGTTAGTCATTATAAAATAGCAAAAGACTTAATTTTGAGGGTAGAGATGAGTTTTATAAAACAGTGTAAATGCTAACAAGTAAAATCTTCCTTAAGTCTGACCCCTCACAAGATATGACGTGTGACCACCCTCTATTTCTCCATTCTCTTGACCTTTTACTACCAAAATTGATTTGCATCAATGCCTCTTATATACAAGCCACCTTGCCAAATTTTTTTTTTTTTTTTTATCTTCACCCTGTCCTAAGATATTAAGCAAAATAGATGACAACACACACACATATTCACAGAATTTTTTTTGCCTCTTTTTGACTTTTTTGGGTTCAGGGGGTCTTAAAATGTGGAGATTTGCAAAAAAACTCTGAGGATCAAATTTGACACAATTCCAACACTTTCCCTTGTTATGTATACATAACAGCCGGGAAAGTAAAAGGACATTAAATTATACCAAACATGCCATTTAAATCATAATGCATGGTTTTTACATGAAATGGAACAAATGCAAAATAATTATAACATAAGTGCTATAATTGTAACTTGTTAATGTGATTCTTAACATATCAATCTTAAAATGAAAAGAATAAGTATGTAATTAGTTCAAATAAAAACAATAACAATAAAAATTCCTAAAATATGAATATGTTATGATTTTAATGTATTTTAAAAATAAATAAATAGAAAGAAATAAATGCAATTATTTTAACATTTTGAAAAGTGTAACCCATAGCTCTGGTAATTAGAGAGTGGGTTTGTTACAGGGCTTGCTCTGGGAATCATTATACATAATGATGTATAATGATTCTCAGAGCAAGCCCTGACTACCAGAGAAAGATTCATATATGATTTAAACATTGCTTAAGAGAGAAGCTTCAGTCCCTAAAGGTGTAAAATCATTCTGTAATACCTTTCTGGCAAGGTCAGTAGTAATCCTATTATTATTAATGTCACCTTGATGTTATTGAAAACAATATGATAATTTTCTGGTGGTTGCTCCTAAGTAAAAGGTTTTTGATCTTATACAGTTTTGCTGTAAGGGCCTGAATTTTCCAAAAAGGTATGACCATCCTTTATTACAAAGAATTCTACATACAGACAGTTGTGGCTCAATGGAAAGCATAACCCATTGTTTCTTGAAAGCCCAAACTATATGTAGAGTTACAGAACAGAAGGTTGTACACCAGATTTTTATTATTATAAATGGAGTGTAAAGCAGTAGGTGGGAAGAGAGATCTGTGGACCAGATTATTAATATATCTAAATTTTGCATGTGGATACTGCTGCTGCTACCAATTGTAGTTCCTTCCACACCAATAAGGGAGGTGAAGGGTATAAATGTACCCTGCAAATAAGGGTGGAAATAACAGCATAGAGGGAAACAAAAGCTAAACATTAGATAAAAATTTAGATTAGTAACTCTTGAAAAGAACCTTCCCAGGCAATTAAGATATTATTTACCTGTGTAAGATAGCAAGCAGGATAGCATATCACGAGTGGGAAGAAGAAAACTTTAGATTCAATGTTTCTCATGATCAACTCAACTAAAATAGCAAAAAGTGGCCCATAGAACACATTGTTTTTGGAAAAAATATTGGCCATTAAATTGGAAAAATTTTTGCTCCATAATCAAGAGGAGAGCCTCCTGTATATCAAGAATTTGTTGGAGAATAGTAACAGTGTGTTTGCAAGCACAACAGCTTTAAAATGTGGAACAGATGGATATAGTGAATTTATATCAATTTTGTAAATTGATGCATTTCAGGAGAAATTGTTCCCATTAGTTCATTGATAATCAATTTGGCCTCTAATGCTAAGGTGATTAATCTCTTTCTCAGGTTCAGTAGCCTAGAAATGAAAATAAACTGGCTAGAACATTTTCTAGGAAATATGTAGGATGAATGCACTTGTTAACACTGAGTAGAATAAAGTTAGAAATGGCTGCAGTTTCCAAATTGGATTATAACTGCTTCTATGATTGTCAATAAACAAGTTGATTCTGTTTCTCACTTTCACAACCAGCATATGCCTGTATATATATATATATATATATATATATCTTGGTGTATATATATCAAGAGATTAATTTGAACTGATGTCTGGTTCCTAAATATGTATAATTAAAACAAAAATTTTAAATTATTATTATTTATTTCATTCTAAAATTAATTTACATATAATTTTTTTCTAATTAGGTTTTATCAAAAATTAAGAAGAGAATTGAAGTTAATGATTGTTCTGAAGCATTGTCAGAATTAAATATCTTTAAAAACAGAGAGTTAATGATTGTTCCAGGTAATTTTTCACTTATTCTAATGAATCATTTTTTATGAATTTCTTAAATCAATTTTCTTCTTTTAATCAGAAAATCAGAAAAGTGTAAAATTAAAATCATTCAATTCAACTGAAGATGGAAATAATTACATTAATGCAATTACTGTAGATGTGAGTTATTTATTTATTTATTTATTGTTAGAATGTACAGTACATATAAATGTATAATTTAAAGTCAGAATATTTCTGTGAACTGTAATTCCCAACTTGGAACATTTCTACAATAAAAAATAATTTTCATTGTAGAAATTTTTAAACATTTAAATCAAAATGCAATGAGAACATTTATTAATCAAATTAAAGCATAGAGACATTTGAAACTGTTACAAAAACATAGTTTATAATTAATGTTTATAAGCCATTCTTAGGAACCCATCATAAACAGTTAGAATTCCTGAAAATATTTATTTAAAATAAAATTTTAGCTTTTCTAATTCCTATAAAAGTTTACTTAACTGAAATTCTAAGTTAAACTGAATGTTTTGATTTCTTTTGTAATATTATTAAAGGAATCAAACATTTTGGTTCCTTCTTTATTTACATAAAATTTCTTTTTTTTTATCTTAGGGTTATAAGCATAAGGATGCATTTCTTGTAACACAAATGCCTCTTCCTCACACTATTATAGATTTCTGGAAGATGATATACGATTATAATTCACCTCTCATTGTGATGTTAAATGACGGTAAAAGAACAGACGATCCGGTAAGATTCTCTGCCTTAAAAGAAAATTAAATAGAAATTCTTTTCATCTCATTTATTTCAAATTTAGTCCATTGGACAATACTGGCCAACTGAAGGTTTAGCAAGATATCATTTTTACGAAGTTCAAGTCGTGACTTTTGAAGATCACGGCACTGTTATTGTGCGAACCATTAAACTTATCAATACTATGAATGTGAGTTAATATTGTAAAATTAAATTATTTTAGATGTGCAAGATTTCAACATAATTTTATATTAATCAGTCCAGAGAATCCCCTCATAGAGTTGTTCAGTTGCAATTTAAGGAATGGCCACACGATCAGATTCTTCCGAGTTCTGCTTCCATGCTGGCATTACTAAACCAAGTTGACCGCTGGTATCGTGGAACAACTGGTGGCCCAATCACCATTCACTGCCTGTAAGTGTCTGGGTTGTCTTTTGATATCTTGTAAACATTCTAATAGATATGTATATTTTTAGGAATGGAGCTGAAAGATGTGGTCTATTTTGCATTACTAGTTATATCTGTGATCAGTTGAAAACAGAACATGCACTTGATGTTTTTAATACTGTAAAAAAGTTAAGAGCTAATCGACCTGAATTCATTACTTCTCTGGTATAAAATTAATACTATAATCTTAGATTTTATTATTTGAATAAGTCTAATTTGATTAACTTTTAATTTTATTTACAGGAACAATACAGATTTTGCTATCAGATTGCACTAGAACTCATAGATTCATATTTGTTACACAGATTAAATTAAAATTTTTACATTTGATGGATTTTCATACAAATTTATAGGAAATTCTCATGTGTTTTTAATGATTGATATGGCATAAACATCTTTTGTTGTAATAAATAAATGTTAAAAAATTTTCAAACATTCCAGATGGATTTTAAGTCTTAGGTGCAAAACATAAGTATTATCATAAATTTAGTAGTCTACAGGCTTAATTGTAATAAATCGAGAGAGAATAAATGCAATTACAAATGTGGAAAGAGTAACAATAACTGCAAATATGTAGAATGTTTCTTCATCAAAAACATCTACAAAAGCAGGTAGACTATCATAAATTTTGTTAAAGAGATTCAACTCTGACTTATATGAAGTCTTCATTTTCTTCTAGTGAATGAATATTCGTCAATCTTTTCTTGTGGAGTGTGTTTTTGAAGAATTTTATGGAATTCTTGAACAACTTCAAGAGATGTTAAATTTCCTGTTTTAAATAAATATTTATGGCCAGAATCTGCAAGAAAAAAAGCAAATCAATACTCAAATGTTTGTATATTGGTATAAGTACAATTTTAATCTAATATTTGAATGAAAACCTACAGATGTAAATGATCCTTTACATTTCATAGATGAAATTTCAAACTTAATTTTATTAATTAATGTATAAATTAAAAATCTTTAAGTTATGAATTATATCAGAAAAACTGAAATAATCACATGGAATAAACCTAATTCAATAAATTATAAAAACTACTAAATTTTGTAGGCAGAATTCTACAATAGATAAAATTCTTGTTGTAATAATTCTGCTCATGAGTTAATCTCTAAGGCTTATTTATAGCTATGAAATAAAATTATTCAAATAACTGAATAAAAATTTCATATTAATAATTTTTAGTTTTATTTTTTAAATGGAAATACTTATTATTATTATTATTATTAAATATGGAATTCATATTTTATTCAGTATCAACAAAAATCTTATTTAGTTTTAAAAATCTTAATTCAGTTTACAATGATCTTATTTCAATGTGATTTAAAATTATCTATAGAAAACTATCAATTGAAAGTCTAAATACACTTTGTAATTTCCAAACATTGTCATTTATGAACTATGTTGTAATATTTTTTTTAATATTAATTGTGTTTGTTTTATTTTATTTAATTTGTTTATACCTAAATATTAATAAACTATAATCAGAGATTGATTTTTAAATAGTGTAAAGACAGCTGTTTATTCTTCTTTTAATTTGGTTATTTATCTTACCTTCACACCTTAAGTGAAGAATATGATAGTAAGGTTTATTGGTTTCGAAAAACCAGTTTTTTGAAGAAATTTATATAATTTGAAAACTAGGTTTTCCAACTGAAAACCCAGTTTTTGAGCCTAGACTTTAATAAATTAAAATTTATGTTTTTTGATTAAAAACATCAACATTTTCACACAAAATCGTCTCTGGCATAAAAACGGGAATATTGTTAAATACTGTTTCATAAAACTAACTAGAAAAACAAAAATCTCCCTACTCCTAAAAAGGGTCCAATTCTCCCTACAATATAGAGAAATCTTGCAACAATGGAAAAAAACAATAGAAAGATTTGTGCACTTAAAAGAATGTGTTGTTTTAGCTTTGAATGACATCGGTGCTTCTCACACGTGGAATGAAGCAGAGTATTGTAAAATTGTAGAGCTCCTTAAAGTTTTAGGACCACTATGCTTAGTAGCTGATACCTTAGGACAACAGGATAATAAATAGGATGACAAGATTTGCATCTTGTCATCCTATTTATTAACAATTGAAGGCATATTTGAATTTCTGTTATGTGAATTGAAAAATTTGAAAGCTGAAATTAGTTCCAAGTTGTTACATGCTGTAGAGATATGAATTCAAGAGAGAAGACAGACGGGATTAGTAATACTTCTTTATTTACAAAATCAACAGAACATTTGGACAAAGTCTTCTATTGTATTTCTTCTGCTAGTAGCAAAATCTGATATCATTAAGTTATCTGAACAAATATTATTCCAAGATTATATCCAAATTATTCTATAGAAGATGACTGTGATGATGAAAAAGTGGCAAAGAAGAAATCAAGCATAAAAATCAATGCATAAATATCTTTGAGAACCTGAAGTGACTTTGTCCAGCCCTATAAGACAGTAAAAAAAGGAGTTTCTAGTATTAGAGGGTACAAACAGAAGAATGAAAAATTTAGATTTATTATTTAATGCTTAAATAAGGACACAGTTGAGCAATAGATCTATAGGCATTCTTTATGTTCTAAAATAATATTTTATAGGCATTCATTGTTGTTCATTTTTCTTTATGGTTTTCTATGGAGTAAATTTTATAATTTAATGTGGTAATCTAGCATCTTTTTTTCTGTTTTGTTTTGTGTAGACATTGGTCAATTTTATTTTGTTATATTTTTGAAATTTTATAAATATTAAATAAATAAAAAAGTTTTAAAACAAGTTGTAAACATCCCTTCTCTCTATTTTGGGGGGGTGAAAATTTGAAAACCGGTTTCATAGAAAAGTAGATATTTGAAAAGCGGTTTTTTGTATAAACCCTATGATAGTAGCAGGGAACATTCTAGCTTAGGAGACCAGAGCATAGGAAGAATGATTCACAAGTGTGAATTTAATTGACAAATGCAGAACTTATGCATCTTTAGAACTTAAAAAAAAAAAAAAAAAAAGGAAAATATGCATAAAAATGAACTTATAATTCATAATAATTACAACTATGATATTGCACTAGTTTACCAAAGCTAAAGAATCATATATGACTTAATAAAATTCTCTCTCCCCTTTCTCCTTAAAAGTATTAACATTATTGGGAATAAAAAAAAATGCTAGACTGATCAAGAAGAGCCTTGAAACTGGTTATATTTAGTTTTTAGCAGGTCAACAATAAATAGAAGCTAGTCTGAAGTGTCTGAACAAATGTGCCTTATTCAATCTGACCTCTATAATCCTACAGATCCAAATTTAGACACTTTCATGTTTTATCACAGTACTGATCTGAATGATTAAAACATTAGAAAATTTTAGATATATCATAATAACCAAATTGATTATATTCTAGTCAGCTACAGATTTAGAAATGCAATAATTAACATGAAGACTTATCCAGGTGTGGACTGCAACAGTGATCATAATCTACTAGTAACAAAACTAAGAGTAAGGCTGAAACATGTTAGGCAAAAGAATGGCTCTATATAGAGGCATTGAGAAAAGACATCAAGAAGACTTTTCAGGCTGACACATCAAGAAGACTGCAAAATTTCAACACTAACAGAAGTGCAGAAGAAATCTGGAATGATTTAAAACAAAAAATTAAAGACACTGTGATTGGCATTCTTCGCAAGAAAGGGAGACAAAGAAGCCTTAGGTTACAGAGGAGATAGTAAAAAAGATGGATGAAAGAAGACAATACAAAAATGCTAATAACACGGAAGAAAAAGAAAAATATAGAATCATTAATAAACAAATAAGAATAATGTGCAAATAGGCAAAGGAAAAGTGGTTGAATCAATTATGTCTGGAAATGGAGCACCATGCAAATGGGAATGACTTAATATAACTTTTCATATAGGTCCTACTCCTCTTAATCTTGGAAAAAAAGAAAATGGGGCTCTGAGAGATGAAAATGTTCATCATTCTGCAATAAAATGTTTCCAAGTGCTAGGATGGAAAAGACAATCTCTTAGAAATGAGGACAGTTTAGACCTAGAAGGAATGGAGGAGAAAGAAGAGAGTGCAACCTTTCTTAAGGAAGAGATTGATGCTGCATTGAAAAAGCTGAGGGACAGAAAAGTACCAGGAATAGATGAAATACAAGGAGAACTACTTAGGATTCTTGTTCCATCTTCCCCCACAGCCTTTAAAATTTTGTTTAAAAAATTAGTTCAGGCAGATATTCCAGATGATTTCACAGAATCTATATTCATCCCTGGTTCCTAAAACTGCAGATACCTTAGACTGTGATAAACACAGAAGTATTAGTTTGATAACTAAAACCTTTGAGGCATAGCTTAACATCATACAGCAAAGAATAGAAAACTACATAAATCATAATTTGGTTTCTGAAGAGTTAGAGGGATAAGAGAGGCCATTACAATGCTAAGATTTCTAGGAGAAAGGATGATTGATCATGATAGAGTTATTTGTGTTTTGTTGACTTCAAAAATGCCTTTAATAGTATTAATCAAGCTCTGTTGTTTGAGAGTCTGCAAAAAATAGGTATTGATAAAAAAAAAAATACTAACAATAATCTACGTCATCTATAAAAGTCAAAAGCAATGGTCAGATTTCAGGGAGAGAGGATACTAATTGGAATCAGATTTAAAAAGGAATAAGACAGGGATGTGGTTTGTCCCCAGCACTTTTTAACATCTGTAATGAATGGATGATGAGAGAAGCATATAAACAACCCTACTAACCCGATGCAAAGCACCAACATACCCAATAACTGCCATAAATCATTGGGCTATAATTTGAAATAAGTAACTATAAATTACCAAATTAATTTGTAATTTATAGCCCATGCCATAAATCATCAGGCTATAATTTATGCCCAATGATTTATGGCAGTAGTCAGTGTGTTGATGAGAGAAGCATTCAAAAATTTAGATGAAGGTGTAAAAATTAATGGACGTCTTATCAATAACATTAGGTATGCTGACAATATCGCTCTGCTATGTAACATCAAAGAAGGGTTACAGAAAATTCTAAGTAGATTGAAAGAAGTGGGAAAAGCAAGATACTAAATGAAAATAAATGCGAACAAAACAAAAGTTATGATAATCTCAAGAGAAGAAAACAAAGATCTAAAGATTATGTTGGATGGAAAGAAAATAGAAAAGGTAAAAATGTTTGAGTACCTGGAAAGTTGGATAACTGAGGATAACAGATCCAATTACGAAATTAAAAACAGAATAAAAAAGGCTATAGCTGCTTTCGCACAAATATCCTCAGTATTAAGAGCGAGAAATGTATGCAAAAAATTGAAACTAAAAATACTTAAAACAGTGATTTGGAGTGTGACTACATACAAATGCAAGTCATGGACAATAAACCAAGAGGCAGTACGGTAATACGGTAAATTCCTTTGAGATGTGGTGTCTTGGAAGAATGGAAGGAATTAGTTGGATAAGTAGAATAACCAACAAGGAGATTATGAATAATTTGGAATGGAAAGAAACCTGATGGTTAGCATCCAGAGAAGAAAAACAACATATGCTGGGCATATAATAAGAGGATTCTCAGGGAACTGATGAAAATTGCAGTTTGAAGAATGGTGGATGGCAGATGGAGAAAGGGGAGACCTAGGCTAACATGATAAACAACATCAAAAAGTGGCTCAACCTTGGGAAAAGCCTACAATCATGAAGAGTGGAGAAGAAGGCCGCGTTTATGCAGCGCTTGAGAAGCGCTTTACAGCAAACCCTCTGAAACCCATTTCTAAATGCAGCGCTGCAATGTAGCGAACCGTTTCTAAATGTTTGCTTCAAGAGGTCGCTGCAGCGAAGATAAAGCAGCTTTTACGTCCTCTACACATGTAAAGCAAAATGGATGCTTGTGTGTATAATACGATATTATGCTGTAAAAATAAAAAAGCCGAAGTGACTGTTGATAAAAATATTATGGAAAGATTAANCCTCTAATGCTAAGGTGATTAATCTCTTTCTCAGGTTCAGTAGCCTAGAGATGAAAATAAACTGGCTAGGACATTTTCTAGGAAATATGTAGGATGAAAGCACTTGTTAACACTGAGTAGAATAAAGTTAGAAATGTCTGCAGTTTCCAAATTGGATTATGACTGCTTCTATGATTGTCAGTAAACAAGTTGATTCTGTCTCTCACTTTCACAACCAGTATATGCCTGTATATATATATACATACATACATATATATATATATATGTATATATCTTGGTATATATATATATCAAGAGATTAATTTGAACTGATGTCTGGTTCCTAAATATATATAATTAAAACAAAAAATTTGTTTTAAATTATTATTATTTATTTCATTCTAAAATTAATTTACATATAATTTTTTTCTAATTAGGTTTTATCAAAAATTAAGAAGAGAATTGAAGTTAATGATTGTTCTGAAGCATTGTCAGAATTAAATATCTTTAAAAACAGAGAGTTAATGATTGTTCCAGGTAATTTTTCACTTATTCTAATGAATCATTTTTTATGAATTTCTTAAATCAATTTTCTTCTTTTAATCAGAAAATCAGAAAAGTGTAAAATTAAAATCATTCAATTCAACTGAAGATGGAAATAATTACATTAATGCAATTACTGTAGATGTGAGTTATTTATTTATTTATTTATTGTTAGAATGTACAGTACATATAAATGTATAATTTAAAGTCAGAATATTTCTGTGAACTGTAATTCCCAACTTGGAACATTTCTACAATAAAAAATAATTTTCATTGTAGAAATTTTTAAACATTTAAATCAAAATGCAATGAGAACATTTATTAATCAAATTAAAGCATAGAGACATTTGAAACTGTTACAAAAACATAGTTTATAATTAATGTTTATAAGCCATTCTTAGGAACCCATCATAAACAGTTAGAATTCCTGAAAATATTTATTTAAAATAAAATTTTAGCTTTTCTAATTCCTATAAAAGTTTACTTAACTGAAATTCTAAGTTAAACTGAATGTTTTGATTTCTTTTGTAATATTATTAAAGGAATCAAACATTTTGGTTCCTTCTTTATTTACATAAAATTTCTTTTTTTTTATCTTAGGGTTATAAGCATAAGGATGCATTTCTTGTAACACAAATGCCTCTTCCTCACACTATTATAGATTTCTGGAAGATGATATACGATTATAATTCACCTCTCATTGTGATGTTAAATGACGGTAAAAGAACAGACGATCCGGTAAGATTCTCTGCCTTAAAAGAAAATTAAATAGAAATTCTTTTCATCTCATTTATTTCAAATTTAGTCCATTGGACAATACTGGCCAACTGAAGGTTTAGCAAGATATCATTTTTACGAAGTTCAAGTCGTGACTTTTGAAGATCACGGCACTGTTATTGTGCGAACCATTAAACTTATCAATACTATGAATGTGAGTTAATATTGTAAAATTAAATTACTTAGATGAGCAAGATTTCAACATAATTTTATATTAATCAGTCCAGAGAATCTCCTCGTCGAATTGTTCAGCTGCAATTTAAGGAATGGCCAGAAGATCAGATTCTTCCAAATTCTGTCTCTATGCTGGCATTACTAAACCAAGTTGACCGCTGGTATCGTGGAACAACTGGTGGCCCAATCACCGTTCACTGCCTGTAAGTGTCTGGGTTGTCTTTTGATACCTTGTAAACATTCTAATAGATATATATATTTTTAGGAATGGGGCTGAAAGATGTGGTCTATTTTGCATTACTAGTTATATCTGTGATCAGTTGAAAACAGAACATGCACTTGATGTTTTTAATACTGTAAAAAAGTTAAGAGCTAATCGACCTGAATTCATTACTTCTCTGGTATAAAATTAATACTATAATCTTACTTGTTAGAATTTATTATTTTAATAAAAATAACTTTACTGATTTTTAATTTTATTTACAGGAACAATACAAATTTTGCTATGAGATTGCACTAGAGCTCATAGATTCATATTTGTTACACAGGTTAAATTAAAATTTTATTTTTGAAAATGTTCATACAGATTAAGAGCACATAATGGTACAATTCATTACAAGCATCTTGTATTACTTTTTCTTTGTAGAGTGATATGATACTGTGAATAGAGTGATAATGTTTAGTGAAATCAGAGGAGGGACAATTGTAATTTATCAACAAAATTTAATAAATTTATATTATTTGCACAAATTTCTATTTTTATTTGACTTTTTCAATTAAGCACCAAAATATCTCTAGCTTCTAATATCAAATGCCATACAAAAGTTATTTCATATTGTTGTATTGAAAGAAAGTGGAAGAAATGCAAAGAATTACACAAACAAATCATCAAAGTTTGAATTAAATTTTATTTGACTGCTTCTTCAATTGTAGAATAAAGTCAGAATGAAAGATTGATTGTCACTATACATGTTTAAGAAAGTTGTAAAAAAACCAGACAGATCTTAAAATTTAATTTACAGTTTTCTAGAAAATGGAACATTAATATTTTTTCTTAGAATTAAAATCAAATGAAGTTTTTGAAAAAGAGAAATTTATTGAAACACGTTGGATCAAAACAAATCTTGTAAAAAGTAAATTGAAATTTTTTCCGAACCACATTAAATAAAATTTATGTAAAGTAAAAAATTAAAAAATATGTGTAAAAACAGAATTGGATGCATAAAGTTCATGTAAAAACACATTAAAGTTAATGAACAGTTTTTATAGATTACTAATTTAAAGTTATATTTTGTAGCTATTACAGTTTTTCATGCATCCCAGATGGAAAACTCTGCTATTTTCTTTACTTGCATGTTGCCTGGAATAAATATGCTTTAAGAGCTGTAGGTTGGAGACCACTGGTATAGACTATAGAGTACTTGCATTTTGGGCCCCTTTTGCCGTTTTTTTCTTTTTTGAACAAATGAAATAAGTAATGTTTCTTTATTTTAAGTCTAATTGAATATTTCTTTTAATAAAAAGCACTCATAAAGATTTTAGTTTTTGTTAGTGAAAATAGCATTAATTTATTGTGGTAGGAATTACTATAAGCCCTAAGTTTTCTCCAGGCCCAGGAATAAATCTCCACCTCTTTCCCTCTTGATGACCCTGATCTCATTTCTTTTGTTATTTCACTAGGTTTTATCTTATTTGGAAATGTTTAAAAAAAATAAACAAACAAACAAATAAATGTGTTTTTTTACTTTAAACATACACCTTACTCTGAGATACAGTGGCTTAAAGAAAGAGTCAATACTCATTTTTGACAATGATTAAATCTACTGGATATAACAGGTGAGTCTAGGCAGATAAGGCATCAGCTTACCATTCTGGAGACTAGGATTGAATCAAGGCAGTCAAAAATCCTCAGAAATTTTTTGGGAATAGTCTGACCAGATATATTGGACCCTGTCCCTTACCATTAGGGTTGCCACATGTTGAGATGCTCAATGCAGGACAAATTGACAACCAAAAAGATTAATAAAAGAAAATTAAGCCAAATGATTGTCATAATTAATCAGGATATTATTATGCTATAATTAATGATTAGAAACCAGGTAATTTGGTTCTAGAGGTAGATGTAGGTGCCATCTCTTATCTAAATTAATGATTTATTAAATAATTTAGAATATTCTGGAAGAAAAGAACTAGCCTGGAGTAGGACTTGAACCCACAACCTCCACTTACCATGCAGTTCATTTGCCAGTTAGACTATCTAGACTCTGAGCAAGACTTCACTTCCAGACATATTTAAATTTAGATATAACCATTCCTAGGTACTTACAGCACCAGCTGGGGTGACTCCTATGCTCGGGCCTATGTGCTCATTTACTATGGCACTCAGCCATAAATGACATTCTCACATCAATGACAAAAACTCACATCTCAAGAACTGCAAATGGTTATATCTAAATTTAAATACGTCTAGAAGCAAAGACATACTCGGGGTCTAGATGTTGTAACTGGCAAGTGCACCATTTGGTAAGCGGAGGTTGCAGGTTCAAGTCCTGCTCTGGGCTAGTTCTTTTCTTCCAGAATGTTCTAAATTATTTAATAAATTATTAATTTAGATAAGAGATGGTGCCTAACATCTACTTCTAGTACCAAAATTACTTAGTTTCTAATTATTAATTATAGCTAATTAAATATCAAACTCAGCTTCTTTTAAAAACACTTAATAAACATTTAACACTATCTATTGCTGAGAATACTTTATTTAAACACAAACGTTTTCAACCTAATGGAATAGGCCATCCTCAGGTTAACTGGCATTTGAATGTATTTCAAAATTGTATTAAATGGAATGTTTGATCATTATAAATTCTCAGCGATAGAGGGTGTTAAATGTTTTATTAAGTGTTATTAATTATAGCATAATAATAGCCCAATTAATTACGACAGTTGTTTGGCTTAGTATCAATACATTGGGTTTCAGGATGTTGATATTTATTGAAAATTAAGTATATTAATAATAAAATTATGGTTTATTTCAGATAAATTTAGATGACAGTTAACAGTAATTTAATGTAACTCTACATAATTTAGGTAAATGTTATCAATAATTGAGTATAATGTCATAAAAACATATATATATATATATTCCATTCATTATGTTTGAAGTATCTTTCTTTGTACATTTCAATAGTTCTACATCATTCTATATCTATTAAAAAAATTGTATGCAACTGCTACAATCAATGCTTATAAGCAATTCTGCTTTGATAAGTTCAACAGAATCCAATGGCAATTATAGCACTTCTCACCATGGCCAAAAATGGAACTTTATAGTAAAATGAAACCTACATTACCTATAACACCTGTGTAGACATCAGTATCAGTTTTATGGATCTGGGGTATTGCTCAACATTATATTATCATCATCAAGGTGTTGCACATTCAATTGGACTTAAATCTGATGACCTTGCAGACCACTGGATGGTTTGGAATTCAAATGAGTATTTTTCTGAGTCAAAACTGAGTGATAGTGCCCAGTGGGATAGTGTATTGTTCTGCTGAAATGCACCATTTCGTTTAGGATGCATGAAGGATATGAAAAGGTGTAGGTGATTAGCCAGCATATTCTGATAGCTCACAGCATTTAAAGACTTGAGACACACTAAAAGACCTAATGAGTCTTATGAGAAGATTCCCTATCCTTTTTTGACTTTAACTTAGCCACAATGCTTTAAGACAGTGGTTCCCAACCTTTTTTCATTAGCGTACCCCGTGACATGGCATATCTCTAGATTGTACCCCTCATTTAAGAAATTTAGTGAGTACCCATATTGTTAATTTTACATATTGTAACTTTAAATTAAAAGTAAATGAAAAAATGTATAATAAAGTTGTGATTGTTGCAAGGAACATATTTTATCTAATAATTTTTTAATACTATTAGTTTGTGATACATAATATATTATTTTTTCTGCCATAATAACTAACTTTTTTCTGTACCCCTAAACAACCTATCGC